ATTGTCATCTCTAAAGATGTCTTTATTTTCTTTCTTTAGCATTTTTTATTTATGCATTTCATGTGGTTGATAGATTTTTATTGTCGAAATATAATTTTATGATTTTTAATGTCCAAACTGACCAACCCAACTCAATTGAAACTTGATTGGGTTTGGTTGGGTTGGGTTGGATTGGATTGGAACACATAAATGGGTTGGGTTGGTTTGATTTTTGATCAAACCAAAAATATTGGGTTGGATAAAAAACCAATCCAACCCAACCCACTTCCACGCCCACTCAATTCCTCTCCGAAATTCGCATATAGTTTCTTTGAAAAATTTACCTGTGCTCATCTATGCTATACAAATTCAACATCTGCTGGTCAAAACACTCACTACAACAACAAAAAAAAAAACCTATTGCAGTGCTAAAAAACGTTGTTGAAGACCTTTTGCAATGTTTGTACGTATGTTGCAAAGCTCAATGTTGTCGTAGAGTAGAAGGACACGATAACGTTTTTTAAACGTTGTTAATAACCTTTTGTAGCGTTTTTTTAAAGTTGCCAATAATCTTTTGTATCATTTTTTAAACGTTACCAATAACCTTTTCGTAGCATTTTTTGAACGTTGATAATAACTTTTTGCAGCTCTTTTTGAACGTTACCATAGGTTTTAACAACAATTTATGCAAATTGATTGACAAAATTGAAAATGACTACTTATGAACAAATTTTGGCATTGCATAAAAATTGATAATTTCATTACAAATTTTTAAATCCATACATTTGAATATTAGAATGTGATACAACACCACTTAAATAAAAAAGAGCTTCAAAATGAAATAAAATTGTGAAACATTGCAAGCTTGCCATAATTCAATTATCGATCCCGTAACCTCTCAAACTTCATAAGCCAATTTGAAGGAGCTCCTAAAGAATCATGCCTGGCATCCAATTCATCTTTGACACTCTTTTGAGCTTTTGATTCAGGCTCTTGAACCTAGATATATGAATAGAGTAGAAGCGTGATAATCATGAATCCCAATATATTATAGTATCCTTTTCACAAGATGCGGCTATTTAAAAAAATCAATGGAACAGTAGCAAATGGTTGGACGACTGAATTTCCAATTATAACAAAATATCTGAATAGCAAAGAGGATGGACCAACCCAAGTTCGACATTGGCGGCAGCAAATAGTTGTCACGAGTATATATATGCTACCTTATTTTTAGCAGATCCTCTCGAGTTCGTTCTCCTACACCGGCAAAGACAGAGAAACCACCTGAAAAGGAAAACATATGGCAGAATTCAGAGCTTTATGCAAGCCAGGGCTCTATGAGATATAATGCATAGAATAAAAAACTAACCATGAGCTTTCGTAACATTGTTAATCAGTTCCATGATAAGTACAGTTTTTCCTACCCTGCACCACCAAACTGTCCAATCTTTCCTCCTCTTTGGTATGGTGCAAGAAGGTCGACAACCTTATATGACAATTCAACACAGAAAAGTGGTGACCAACATAAAGACAGATGAATTTCAAAACTATGATAAATAGCAGGTGAATGAGAATGGAAGCCATCAAATTACAGATTGGACCTCTAAGAAAGTACCTTGATACCAGTGACAAGAATTTGCTGTTCAGTTGCTTGCTCCACAAAGGCTGGAGCTTCACGATGAATTGGCAAGTAGTGATCAGTTTCTGCAGCACCATTCCTTTGTTAGTAAAGACAGAAGCCTTCTATAGTCACTTAAAAGAGTGTGGATCATAAGACTTCAACAAAAGCAACAAAGATACTTGAAAAGAGCCCTCGAGATTCCTTTATTGTATCAGGAGCTCCAATTAGTTTCAGCTATCGGGATTTACAGTATAGGACTAGTAACTTTTCCAACCTGTTAAGAACAGATAATAAACGTGACGAGGAATCAAAAAGAAAGAGGAGACTGGGGACATTCACTAAAGGAATCAGAACTCGAAACTAATACTAATCTTATTGTGTTCTTTGGCAGGTGGATTTGGCAGTGTATAAAAGGGAAGTCTAGGCGATGGAACGTTAATTGCAGTAAAGAAACTTGACAGGGTTTTGCCCCATGGGGAGAAGGAGTTCATTACTGAGGTGAACACAATTGGCTCAATGTATCACGTGAACTTGGTTCGGCTATGTGGATACTGTTCAGAGGGGTCACAGCGATAGCTCTCTCTCCTGCTATAGTATAATAAATTTTCACTTCCATCAACATGTCCTTCAGTCCTTGGGAATTGTTACGTAAACACAAGCATCAACTTCATCTTGACACAAGATTACTCCCTCTCAATTAAAACCAAACCATATTGCCAACAAACAATTTCATGAACAGAACAATCAAACATAGAAAAGAAATTAAGCTCAATCACCAGCTAAAAATTAGAGATTCTTTAGATTATTACTTTCCAGTATGAACAGCAAATATTCAAAACTGTTTTTGCTCCAAGTAAATTCCAGTAAAGAACATTAAGGCCCTGTTTGATAAGCCATTTTTCCATGGAAGTTGGAAAAAAAATTCCATTTTATTGCTTTTAGGCTGTTTGATAGGCAATAATTTCTAGACAAAATATTTTCCAACCCCCATGCGCCCTTATTCCTTGAATTGAGGGAAAGCATTTTTGGTGGGAAAATGCAATTCCAGGTTTCTTTCTTTCTTTTTTTTTTTTAACAATAGAAACAAATTTCATAACCAATTGTAAAAAAAAAAAATCACTTTAATGGATAATTTCCATGTAAAACAAAACCAAATGAACACTAAACTTTGATAAAAAAAATGATTTTTTAGAAAAAAAAATTTCGGTTTTTTTTTTTTTTTTATTGGGCTT